CGGGAGCCGGGAGAGGAGGCCCCGGGAGCCGGGAGAGGAGGCCCCGGGAGCCGGGAGAGGAGGCCCCGGGAGCCGGGAGAGGAGGCCCCGGGAGCTGGGAGAGGAGGCCAAACATGCCGCCACCCGCACCCATCAGTGTGGGCCTTCGGCAGGGGGTTAATCTGTTGGATCTGTCCTGTCAGGTGGGAATGCAGATACCACCATCGATGGCGTGATCTGTGGAAACTGAGGTGGGGGTGTAACAGGCCCCCGCCTCGACTGGCATGAGCAGGCACTAAGCAGGTGCCGGCTTCCTATTCTGTGGCGACATGATTCATGGAACACAGGCGTCCACACGGGTATGAAAGGGCCTGAATGGGGATCAGGGAGGCGCGGGCCAGGACAAGGTGACCCTCAGGGTCCAGATGAAACTCAACCACGCCTCAGCTGGCAGAGACGCTCCATGAATAGCTAGACTGGATTCAAAGTAGGCAACTGTGAGCAAAGCAGAGGAAATCAACAGGAGACGCCAGCGTCCATTTCCATAGACGACTGACGCCGAGACCAGGGCCACGTGGGTGCACTTCTGGGAGGACAGAAAAGGGGCTGGAAGGAGAGAGGCTGGGGAAGGCCTCTGCTGGCAACTTACTGACCATCTCCTGTGGCCCGTTTTCTTTTATAACAGAAGTCAACAGAGAGGAAGAGCAGAGAGGAGAGAAAGGGGGTGAGAGACAGCATCTGGACACCGCGCTGGCCTGCTTCCCGGCCAGCATCGAAGAGCAGCAAGTGTGCATCTCCGTCCCTTGGCACTGAATGCGGGAGGCAGCTGCTCGTGGGGGAGGGGGCCAGGAGGTCACACCCCCGAGCGCCATGGCATCCAGGCTAGGCATTAAGCGACTATGTTTACAAGGAGCATGCCAGTCTCTCCTGTCCCTCCTGTCCTCGCACCACACCCCCTGACGGTGAGCAGAAAGGGGCTCCACGTGCCCCAGGCTGGACAGTGTGGAAGCCGCTGGGCTCCCTCGGCCCCACACCAGCCACACACAACATGGCACACTTTCGAGGGGGCGGCTGAGGTTCAATTCAGGAAGCGTCTGGTTGAGAGCCAATTTGGTCCCATGACAAATGATGTGGGAACATCTGGAGACGCGGTTGGAGACAAGCTGGGTCTCATAGCAAGAACACACAGCTCACATGTGGTCACCACACCAGATGCTCCAGGGGTCTCCTCTAGTTCTTGGCAAAGAGCTTGGCAAAGCCATGGTTGCCCTAAGCTCCCTCAGGTGACCACGTCACTGCTGCCTCCTGTCCCCAGCACCTCCCTGAGGCACAGACCCTGCTGAGGCCTGCAGCAGCACCCCGAGTGAGCCCCTTCTCTCTCTGCTCTGCACTGAGGCCTCACTGTCCTCCAGAGCACCAGGCTGTCCATGCCTGTCTGTATCCCCACACCTCTGCCTGGCACACTCTCTGCCCACTGTGACAGCTTGGCCAACACCATAAGCACCAAGATTCAACTCAAGAAAAACCTACACCGTGAAGGCCTGCCCGTCCCTAACCCCCCCTCCCCATGCCAGCCAGGCAGCCCCTGACCGGCAAGCTCTTCCATCAGGGTGGACCTGAGGCAGCAGGGTAACTGTGGAGGTCTTCAGTCTCCCTCCAAACTCACCCGCTGAGGCTTCTCTTCTGCCCCTGAAACCTGTATGGTACCTGGCACCCAATGCTGGCTAGACATATTGGACAGAGGCAGAGGGCCGCCCTCCACCAGGATTAAGCACGCACCACCCGAGGTTCTGACCTGCATCCATGCTGTGGTTCATCTGGTGGTCACTGGTCTCTCCATCTTCACTCAAGTAGCCAGGGGGTGGGGTTTCTGGGAATCAGAAGGAAGGTGGGTCATTACATCGCCTCAAGGCTGGGCACCCTTGAGATACCCTCTGCAAACGTGTCCCCTGCGTGCACAGTGAGGCCAGGAGTGGGTGCCGGAGGATCCCTGGCCTGGAGCGAGGGCACCCGCTGTGGGCTCCTCTGGGCCTTGGGCCCAGCCACCTCCCCGCAGCCTTCTGAACTGCTACCACCCAAATCTGAAAGGCCTGAGTCAAGGGGCTCTGCCAGGCTGACTTCTCCCCAGGCTCCAAGCTGGGGTTTAAGCCCGCCCTTCTGAGGAGACACTGGACTTGTCTCAGCCTGGCCTATCTCTGTCCTCAGGGTGGCCTCCTTTTGACTCTCCTCTCCATTTTGTAAACCCTGCACTGTTACTATCTGTTCTTTCTTTAGGGGATGTCTCAGCTCCCCAAGTAGCCTGCAGGTACAGTGATGCCAGAGCCTGATGTTGTCCTCCGGAGCCCTCAGACCCTGACGTGGCTAAGGCCCGTGATGAACAGAGTGGGTAACACGTCCCTGAGACCAGCACTGCCTGGGAAGGGTCTGAACGTTGGTCTCTCCTTCCTCCTGTACCCAGCACACATGCCTGGGTCACCTCAGCAGAGTAAACTTACTGGGGTAGAGGCCTCCACCCACTGGCACCATTTATAGCCTCGAGTAAAAGTCAGCAGATGTGGCACCAGGCCCACAGTATCTGAACAGTCCGAGGGCTACCAGGCGTTTCTCCAGGACACAGAAGGGGGATGGAGATTCGCACTACTTACATACAATGAGGCCTTCTCCAAACACTGGCGCCTTTGACATCAGAGCCCACTTCTCCCGTTAGAGCAAGAACCCTAGTTCTGACCTCAGTTCCCACCAGACCGTAACCCCGCAGCGGTCTGCTCAGAGGGCCGCGCTCGGCGCTCGCTGCCTCGTACCTTCTCCGGGCCCTCGGGATGCTGCCTGCACGCCGCAGGCCCCAGGGGCGGCTGGAGAAACACAGTGCTGCTATTTCCGCTTCCAAAATAAATGACTGCATCAAGTCCGAGCGGAAGGGTCACGAAGCCGGTCCCCCATGCCAAGAAAAGCATCATTAGCGAGTGGGGAGCCAGGCCACAGTGACTCTCCCAAGAGAAGGGGGTTCTGAGTCTGGGCCCACAGGTCAGCGCTCCGTGTGGATGGGGGTTACAGGGCCAGGCCAGGGGGGGCAGAAGGCAAGGCACTGTCCTGGGCCCCTGACCCCAAGCGGCCCTGTGCTTACCTGGAATATTGCTCTGGGGCTCGATGCCCGCGGGAAAGTTAGTGTTTTCGGGGATGGAATGGCTGTAGTCGTCCAGCGGGGGGAACTCGGCCGGGATCTCTGTGTGGCGCGGCACCAGCACGGGAGGTAGAACTGTCCAGGGAGGCAGAGCAGAGCAGGTCAGCAGTGGGTTCAGGCTGGCCCCAAAGTCCCCAAGCCTCCCCAGGAGACCCCATGCCCTCCCTTGGGAGGAGGGGGCGCTACAGTACCCGGGGGGGATGGCCTACCTGGGGTTTCTACCCTCTGGTAGTGGTAGGGGTTTACGCAGACCTCGTCCTTCTTCATGTTGAAGGCGAACTCACACAGCTCCATGGCCCGCAGCTCGTGATGGCTGTGCAGGTCGGGCCATCGCCACAGGCGGCAGTAGATGACGTGAGGCAGCCCCTTCCGATGAGACACCTGCAGCCGGCCATCCAGGGACCTGCCAGGACAGAAAGAGACAGGGGAGAGGACTCAGCGGGCCTCCTGCAGCCCCGGACAGACGAGCAGGCAGGGACTCCGCGCTCGCCCCGCCCCTCATTTCTCTCCAGCCAGAGGGCGGGAGATCAGAGAGTCCCTGTTAGTGCTGGCAGGGATCCCAGAAGAACACACACGCCGCCAGGGAAGGTCGGGCCCCCGGGCTGGCAGGGTGGACCTTGACCCCAGTGGGCCCTGGGGCGACTGTCCCACACCACCCCCACCCCACAGTGGGACCGAAGGGGCGCTTGAATCCTGCTCTGAGAAGATGAAACTGGTGCTTGCCTGGAGGGGGGTTAGCAACCCAGACTCCAGGTATGAACGTGTGGCCCACAGGGACGCAGAGACACTGGTGGCGGGCGACATGTCCACCTCCTCTAATCCCTGCAAATCCTCCCGTTCCTGTTCCCTTTTATAATTGGTATCGGTGGTGAGGCAAGAAGGGGAACTTAAAATGGTTAAACCTACACTACGGACCTCTCAGGAGCCCACTCCGGCTTGGGGGTTGTTTTGCAAGTGGCGTCCTAGGGCCCCTAACCTCAATGGTGGGTGGGGTACCCCAGTGCCACCATGCACAAGGCTGTTCTGACGCAGAGTGCGGGTTTGAGAGCAAGCAGCCGGGGGATGCGGGGCTCCCTACCAGGTTCAGTTCTGCAACACCCACTGTCCCTGTGCAGGCAACACCTGGTGGGCCTTGGCCTTGGGGCAGGTGTGGCTCAGACCAGGCCTGCGCAGTCCCTGGGTGAGCTGGACCAAGGTTCAGGAGCTTGCTAAAGTGTGGAACCTCAGTACCTACCCCGATACACTACTGGCTTGTTGGAAAAGTCATGACATATATTTTCTATGTTTTTCAAGCAAAAATGCATCATGACTTTTCCGACAGCCCAATAAATCAGAGCCTCCTCTATAAATCCCCAGGCTGTCTGCCAGCAGGGCTACTGGGGATCTCAGGCAGCAGAGGTGTGCCTGCCAGGCAGAGAAAAAGGACGTAAAGTTTAACATGAGGGCCAGTAGGAGACAGGCGAAGAGGTTCTTATTCACACGAGGGCTTTATTTAACGAATACTGTATGGGTGTCTGCAGCGTGTGGCCCCAGGGGTTCCGGGCGCAGAGAAAGACGGCACCGCGTTCCCTACACCAGGGAGCGTCCTGTCCAGGCGGCCAGACGACATGAATAAACACAGACTGTGACAAGCTGCGATGTCCTCAGACAGAAAAGCACAGGGCACTGCAGAGTACATGGCCTGGGAGTCCCCATTTGGCTGCAGGCCTGGGCGGGGTATCCTTGAGGTGGTGAGAAAGGGCAAGAGAGGAGCCTCTCCCCCCAGGCCCACGGAGGGCCGGGCCAGAGCCAAGGCCCCGCCAGGGTGGAGAATGAGGGGAGCAGAGGGTGAGGCTGGAGAGACTAGAGAGCAGAGAGGGGCGACTGGGTAGAAGGCAGCAGGCAGGGCGGACCGCGGGGCCCTGGGAGCCATAGACGCCTCCGAGACGCTGATGCCAGCTGGGTGCGTGCATGTGGCAGAGATGGTCCCTGACAATTCTGGCTGCGTGGACAAGCAAAGAGGGGGGTCGCGGGGGGATGGAGAGCTGCAGTGGGTGGGATGGGTGCTCCTGAATAAAGAGGACGGCGGGCGGCTCTGCACTGGCGACAGGAGGGCCACCCTCACGTCCCACAGTCTGTGGGAACAACTCTTCTAACAGCTGGGTGTGGTCGCTGAGAGGCTTTTGCAAGAACTCCCCCCCCCCCAGCCCCCTATGACTAAGGGCACCCGTTTGCCTGAAAAAAAAACAGAATGTATGGGTGTTCTGTGAGGGAGGGGCTCCCAGTCAGGGCTTGGCTGGGTCCCTGAAACTGACTGGGGCAGCTGACTGAGGGCATGTCCCTCCTGTGGGACCCCCAGATCAAGGAGGTCCCACAGGCTCCAAGTAGGAGTAACCAGGCAGAGAGGATGGCTGGGACTGGCCTGGGATGCAGAAGGAAGGCTCCCGCTGTGGAGTCACGAATCCCGGGGTCAAGATAGGCCTCCGCTCTCCTAGCTGTGAGATACGGGGTGCATCATGAGGTCTCTTGACTCCCCTTACTTCATCTGTAAAACGGGAACATTGTCCCACCCACCTCCCACCTCTCACAGCTTTGCGAAGCACCAGTGAGCGTTACTATTCTGCAAGGCATTGGCCACGCGTCAAAGCCAGTGCTGGATAAATGGGGTGAGTATGGGATTGAGGAGAAGAGAGAGGGAGTAGCGACAGCTGAGTGGAGGGGCTGAGTTACACAGCTGTTCCCACGAGTGCCCATCGCTCAGGGAAGTGGCCACCTTCACGCCTGGGCGTTGGCCAAAGCCCCAGCAGGAGGCCAGCTGGATATTCCTAGCTACCTCCATGGGTGGGTGGGTGGGTGGGGTGGGGAGTGGAAGACAAGGCTCATGCATTATCCAGGGAAGAATGGGGCTGTCAATGCACCCCACCCTACCTTGTTGATAGAATGGGGTGGCCTCCTTGTTTTAAAAAGAATGGTAACACAGGCAGGAGAAGGGATGATGGACAGCTCAAGGAAGGCCGCAGCCTCCATGGGGCACGCAGCGGAAGGCTGGGAGAGAGGTGACGCTCCCTACAGGCCTGAGCCTCCAGGAAGGGGGGGGCGGGGCAGGATGTGCTGGGTCCCCACAGCCCCAGAACCTGACACCAGAGCCTGCCAGGCCTCTCCTGCTCAGGACCCTGCAAGGAGAAAAGACAAGGAACAGGCCAACACGGGACAGCCGGGTGAGGCTCGGGGTTCTGGCGGGTGCGAGTGGCTGAGGTGGGCCTGGCATGAGGGGGTTTGTGACGTGGTCACTTTGGGCTAAGGAATGTTGAGGAATGGGAAGGAGTCAAGGAGGACAGAAGTTTGTCACATCTGCAGGCACTGCAGTCCCTAGTTCTTCATCCAGTCCCTCCTAGAGTGCCCAGACTGTTCGCTCTCAGGCCTGAAGAGAATTACTGCACAGAGAGCTCCAGGCAATCGGGGACGGGGTGGGGGGTAAGTGCAGAGCTGCTATAGGAGGAGGGGGGCAGGTCAGGAAAGTACTAGTGGGGTGGGGGAGAAGAGGAGGGGGTTGGAAGGGAAGGGAATAAGAAAGGCCCAGGCAAGAAGAGAAGCTGACGGGTGCCTCTGTCCCAGTCTAGCCAATACCAGGAGCAGGGAGGAAAGAGCAGGCAGGAGTGGAAAGGGGGTGGCCGAAAGCCAACAGAAGTGATTCCATTTGTGCCCCAGAATCTGGGTGACACTCAGGAACCGGAGGAACGACACACTTCTCAGGACAAAACCCAAACAGCCCGATGGGCCTTAAGTCTCTAGAAGAGGCTGCTCCCCTCTCCAAGCTCCTGCAGACAGGCCCTCCCCATCCCGTGACAGGTAGGTTTGTTCTCTGCAGAAGAGGGACCAGAGAGCCAGAGATGGGGGGCTCTGGACTGGGCCACCAGGGCACTGCCTGGGGAGAAGGTCAGACAAGGGCTGGGCAGGATTTCATGAAGGCTCCCGAGATCGCTCAGTACCTGGGACAGTGACAGCCAGACCCTTGCCCCAGCCCACTGCGTGGGGAAGTGTAACAGTCCTGCCCATCACACTGTGTCTGTGGATCCCTCAACAAAATGACCACGTATCTGCCTGTTAACTGGGCTGCTTAACCCCCTGCCCACAAGCCCCTGCAGCACCAGACTCTGAGCACTTAATCAACTATTTACTCCTTAGATATGAACACTGTCCAGAATATCCAGCTATAAAAACAAAAACAAAAAAAAAACAGTACGAACAGGATGCACAGGGACAGCAACAAGCTTCTCGAATAAAACTATGCACATGAGTTATTTTGATAATATAATTACGTTTTTAAAAAGCAAGGGAGTGACATAGTCAAGGTTGTCTGGTCATGGCAAAAAGATAGGTAAACTGGTGGTGGGACCCAACAGAGTCCTGACAGTTACTCATAAATGAACATCTGATTTTCAGCAAAGATGCTAAGCCTATAAACTTCTAGAATAAAACAAAGGAGAGAACCTTTCTGAGAACCTTGGGATAGGCAAAAACTGCTTAATACCAACCCAGAAGCACATTCCATTTTAAAAACAGCTGATGGTTGATGAATTAGACCTCATCAATATTAAACTTTTGGTCTCTGGAAGCATGGCTCAGAGAATACCAAGACAAACGGCCAAAGAGGGGCGATACTGGCAAAGCACGGATCCAACTAGAGCCCGAGAACCACGGACCATAGAGAGCTCTAAAATACTAAGAAAACAAGTACGCCAACTTTTAAAAGAAGTAAACACATGAGCATACATTGCACACAAAGATGGCACAGACACACGGCAAGGGAGTATGTTAGGGCGAGTCATCGGAGAAGCTCGGGTTGCAGTGAGCTACCTGTACGTGTTGTTCGTGGTTAAAATGAAGAAGACTGCAACCCATTTTGGCAGGGAAGTGGAGCCAATAAAATGTGATACATTGCTGACGGAAATGTAAAATGGTATAAATACTTTGGAAAAGCGTTGGATGGTTCTCAAGTTAAAATCCAGCCGACCGGCCCTCCCCTGTGGCGCAGCACTGAGAAACTAAAGCCGCTTTCTCATGAGTTCGATTCCCGCCTGCCCCGGAGGTGACCACATGGCACGGCAGACCTCTCCTGACACGCCCACTGCTCCCCTCAGCAGTGTACTTCGATGATCTGCCTGTTCTGCTCCCCACTCTGTCTCTGGTGAAGCCTCTCGCCGCCCCTGAGCCTCTGGCCTGTACCCCAGTTCTGTATGAACAAATAAATAAATCTTTAAAAAAAAAAATTTGTCTCCAGTTATAAATTCCTATACAGTTCCATTATCAAAGCTGGGCCCTGGCGCAGCAGGCTAAAGCACAGCACTAAGAAGCTAAAGCCACCTCTGCAAGAGTTCGATTCCCGCCTGCCCCGGAGATGACCACATGGCGTGGCAGACCTCT